CCCCGGGAGGAGGAGGAGGGGGCGGTCCAGCTTGAGCGCGTTCATGCCGAATATTGCAGCGCGCACATCGCTCAAGGCCGTCATTCCCGAAGTAACTGTGATTCTCACAAACGTGAGTCCCACAATCCGTACAGAGATACATGGAGACCTCCTGAGCATTCTTGCGGCATGCCCAGCATTTCATTTTCAAGAAGTGACAATTGCAACAGTCCCCGTCGTCACCACGGCAAAGCCCGCAGAACTCACGACTGCATGTCACACACGAGAATTCAGCATTCGGGTGCTTACGGTCGTTGGGATCATCGAGGGCACAAATCTTTGGCGCGTCTGGGCCATCACCGCCGGGAGCCCCTCTTGCAGCCGGCGCTGAGGCCTGTCCACGATCCGAAGGAGCTCCAGCAGTCCCTCGCCTATCGCCGGGACTCTGGGTGTCGGCGCTGGCTCTACTCCCAGGAGTCCTCCACTCATCACCAGGACTCTGGATGTCGGCATGGACCCTATTATCCCCACCACCTCCTGAATGACGACCTGGGTTCGGAGAGACGTTCCCGCTATCGCGGATTGGCCTATCAAAATTCGGAGAGACGCTCCCGCTATCGCGGATCGGCCTCTCCCCCCTCGGTTGTCGACTCCGGACCTCAGATCCCCTATCGGGGACGGCAGCAGGCCTCGGGCTCCTATTCCTACCCGCATCCCTATTGGGGGAAATAGAAACGTCCCCCCTAGCGCGCGCGCGGGGACCACCCCTTGCACGCTCCGGTGGCGAATGCGACCTGTCAGGCAACCCCCGAACCCTCCTGCTCCTGCTGTCGGACCTCTCCCTAACGGGATAGATGGGATGCCTGTCTGCGCGAGAAGGATCGACCCTATCGGGCACATTCGGCAAAACATGATCAGGCAAAACAACGCCTCCGCCTGGTCTCACCGGCAGGCCAGTACCCCGGCCGTCACCTTCCCCTGGTGTAGGCGTCGGTGACCTGATCCTATGTCCTTGCCCCGCAAATGCATGGTAACCAACATTCCGTCTTTCCCTGGGTTGTGGAGGAGCTTCATTAATCTGCTGGACACCCTGAATAATGCCAGCAGCCTCGTCAAATTGACCCTCCATCTCAAAGAGCTGGGACATGATTCTGTTGTTCGCGGCGCTAAGGTTACGCACGTTACCATCGATAGCGCTGACTCTCCGCATAACACCTTCAAGTGTACTCCGGAATGTGCCGAGCTCTCGCCTAACGGCAGGCTGCACTTGGTCACTGCTGGCAGGAAGATTACGGATCTGTCCTTGGATGCCATCAACGACCCGATTCACAACTGCCGATCTCGCTTCATACTGTTCAACATGTGACTTCACGGCTTCAAACCTCGAAATGATGTCGTCATGATCCCGACGTTGACGTTGAATTCCTCGAGCCAGATCCTGCATCTTCCGATTGATCTCGTCAACAGCCTCATGCCAGTCCTGCGAGGAATCATGCCCTGATGGTCTATCGACCTCCTGAGAACCCCTTCCACTCTGCAGTCTAGACACTCGATTAACAAGACGAGTGTGCTCTTCTTTGACCCCTTCAATAGATTCAGAGGCCCACTTGGCAAACGTCTCGTGATCAAGGAGAGCTTTCTCGATCTTCAGGTTTAACTCCCTGAAATTTGCATCGACTACACTGCCGCTGGCCCTATCGGACGGATGCGCGACAGGATTCGGGTTCCATACACCTGCCGGTGTCCGCATCCCAACGGTTTTCTCTACCGAGAACATCCGTTTCTCAAGCTTGTCCAAATCCTTAAGGATCTCGTCCTCAGAAGCAGCATGGCTCCTGCGGGCAGCCTCATTATTCTCCTGAATCATCAGGCGAAGCCGATCAGTCGATGCCTCATTGTCCCTGACAGATTCATGGACCTCGTGGGACAGTAGGTTAATCCTCTGCTCCACGACCTCGGCTTGCTCATCGATGGCTTGCCTCACAATGGCCTTGCTATCGGGAATAACTTCCCTTGCGAACCGTTGAACTATCATTCGCATCCTCCCGGCATCAGATTGAGTCGCAACCTCAGCTGCCAGGCGATCGACCTTGTCCTTCGTCCGTTGACTCTCGTCGCTCCATTCCCTTCGCATGGAACTCACCTGACCGTTCAGTACCCTGATTTGGTCAGCAAAGATGTGGAACGCCTTCGCGACTGAGCCAGAAACCTCACCTCTCTCGAGCATCTCTTGGATGTGCAAATCGAACACCTCCTTCGCCCTAGCGTCACCTGATTCGCCGGAAGACTGGGATCTAAGGGCGGGAGGAGTCGATATCTCGATCCTCTCAGGAGCCCCACTAGCCCCGGCATGTCTTCTGGGGTCATCCACGGGACAATCACCAACCCCAGATGGCCTGCTAGGAGTAGAACCCCTTCTACGGCTATCGCCGGAACGGGGATCAACATGGGACGCACGAGACTCGGGAGTAGAGTGGATGTGAACATCAGCAGGATCAGGCATCTCCTCATCCTGCGGAGTTGAGTCCATTGGTGAGGGGCTAGCCCTCCTCGCCTTCGACCTATCGGTCTCAATGGCCAGGGGTGACGGTCTCTTCGCAGAAGCACTACGTTCCCTGGCGGTCGAGCCCCATTGAGGTGTGAACTCGTTGCTGGACCTTAGCGTTTCAAGGTCACTGGTATCTCGCCCTAACGGGCTAGCGATCGACGGACGATCCTCGATTCCGAGTGCATCGGCAAGCCGGCCATCTCTTGCACCTCTCCCAACGACATCGGCAACCCGCTCAGTGACTCTCGGCGAACCAGTAACCCGGTTCGAGTTCACGTCTCTCTGATTTAACGGACCTCCAAACGTAATGTTGGGAAAAGGGGGAACATTCGGGGTATCACCAATCGCCGGGGGACCTACCGGTCCCTCACGGTCATGGATGGCCTCCAATCCCCGAAGAACTTCCCGACTGTCCCTGGCTCTCTCTCTCTCGCTTCGGGCATCCCTGTCAACGCGAAGGTCCCTGGCGGCTCCACGAGAGAGGCTCCTGGGCCTCGCAGCATCACGGATCCTAGCATTTCGTCGTGGTTGGTCCTCCTCCTCATCACGGCGATCCGCAAACGCGGCATACTCGTCATCATCATCGACCTCAAACTTGGCAGCGGCGGGACTATAGTCCTTGCAGTCTCACGGCTGCCTGCATCTCGGCGCGAATGGCTCTCCTCCTCATCCGCAAAATTGTAACCTTCGCCATCATAAGACTCAGATTTGGCAGTATTAGGGTTGGGCCTACCGGCATCAGACCCCTGCTTTGAGCTACTGCCCCAACCTGCGGTTGATTTCAACAGATCATCGTATCCGAAGTCTGAGAACTTCCGCTCCTCGTGCTCATCAAACTGACCTGGATTCTGAGAACCAGTGGATCGGCCCGGGATACCTCCCGGAACCAGAACCATAGTCCCTGGTCCCTGCGGCCTACTCTCAAACTCATCCGAGACCTGCGACTCACCTGGAACAAGAGATCTCGGAGGTCGAATCGGCATGGCCTCCGGGTCATCCGAATGAGGGCGGGCCATGTCCATCGCCATGCTGATGAAGTCAAAGCGTCCACGCCTGTGACCTGATTCAGAGCCACTCCTATCGGAGTAAACCCTTCGTGTCTGCTCGTCATCAGTGGCCTGGCGGAAAATACGATCGTCTCCATCGTCGGCGTACCTGCCACGGCCCCTGGGTGTATCCCTACCGGGATCTTCACCCCTGCGGTCCTGACCTGTCGAACCTGCTTCGAAATCCTCGTAGTCATAGTCCGGTAGGTCCTCACCTGAGCGGAGGCCACCTAGGATGGCCTCCTCATCCACGACGCTCCTTCGAGATCGTGGGGTCGACATAGAGCTTGTAGTTGATGGTCTCAAGCGCGTAGGAAAGTCCTACGGCTGATAACCTGTGATTCGGGCACGAGCCTGTGCCCAGGCAATGGGTAAGTTGGGGTAAACAAGCCACAAAAGAAAGGTTCCCCAAAAGCAAACCAATCCCCGGTCCCAAAGATCAGGGTTTCCCACACACCAGAGAACAACAACCAAAGGAAAACAAACCAAACAAGAAAAGGGTTAACCCGCAACCTTGGTCGACAACAGGCCGCACGACTGGTCCCTACCAACCGGCGGCGGCCCGAGGTCTCTTTCTCCCCCGAGATGCCGTCGGTCGACGCAGGGGTTCGGCGACGCCCATTCGAGGCGCGACGGAACCCAAAACTTGAGCCAAACACCACAGGTCAGTCACTACCGCGACGTCCCTGGTGATGAAATAAACCATGGCTAATCACATATCCAGTTCAAAAGCACCAAACCAGGGTTTCGATGATGTCCACCCTCCATCCGCAAGCGCTCACTTGAGGCAACCACCCTTCATCAACCAACGGGATAACGCCATTGTGTAGCATTGTGGTTCTACTATATACTGTGTAGCGTACAGACTGGCTGGCCATGTTCCAAAGCAAACATGAGAGAGTCACAAATGAAGACGTGGAAACGGCAAGCTTTAGGAGAAGGTTGTCTGGGAGACAAGCTGCCAGGGCGAAGAAAGCCAAAAGTAGATAGCAGAATGAATGCGTATACCCGCGGCTGGGCGCACCCAAGGCAAGCCAAGGCAAGGAGGAGCCCAAGAAGACAAAGGAAATACGAAGCCCCACGTGGTCAGCCTGCCCAACACTTACTGTCACTAAGATAGACAAACGGAAACAATCACACCAAACAAAATAAACAAAGACTCATCACAATGTGAATCACAACAAAACAAACAAGGCCCGGGCCCCTCTCCCAAGCTTCCAAATAACGAGGACCCACGCCCAACCTTTCTGTGTACAAACCCCTGAGATGTGCAACACACCGTTTGGGCTGTTCTTGCGCCTTGGTCTTTGCTAATTACTTTCACCTGAAACTTCTCAAAACTTCTGAAAACTTCTGAAACTGCATCTGAAACTTCCTGCTGCCTTGCTCGGGCTTCACTGAAAAACCCCTTGTCCGCATCTGGGCGCTGCATCGGCAGCTGCTGCGCCTCCGCGCGCATCTGTGCGCGGAGCAACTCGTGGCCCCTGCGCAGCTCTGCGCGCAGCTCGGGGTCGTGGAGATCGCCCGCGGCCGACGCGCGGCGGTTGGGCGCCAGGCCCTGAGTCACCGAGGCCAGGGCCAAGTTGGGGAGGGCTGGTGGGGCTGGTGGGGCTGGCTGGTGAGGGCAGGCACCGAGGGAATCAATTGAAGGTTTGAGAAAGAGAAAATTGAGGACCCCTTGCCCCTTCGCAGAGGAAAACAGAGGAAACAAAATCCGCAAGTTCAACTCCCCGCAGCCAAATCTCGCGCCTGCTGCTGCAGCAAGCCGAGCAAGAGCCGCAGGACCTCCACCACGTCCCCGAGGACCGCCACGTCCGGCGCGAAGTTGGCCCCCAGCACGCAGGGGTCCGCGTCAACATGCACCACCTGCCACACCCCCCCCACCGATCGCTGGCAAAACAGCCCCGACACACTGGCAACATTTGGAAACTGTGGGAAACAAGAGCCGAAAGCAAGCGTCTTCAGGCTATCAACCGCAGCGCCTTCATCCTGCGTGCAGGCCACTGGCGGCGGCATGAGGCGATCTCCCCCATCTGCGCCCCCAGAATGATCACGGCGTCACAGCTGTCCGCCACCTAAGACCCCCGCTGAGAGTAAAAGGTTTTCCAGGTTGAAGCTTCAGGTGACCCTGTGCATCTTTCTGCGTGCAAGGATTGATTGGCAGGCACGTTCGTGACATGGCAGAGCACTCTTCAAGCTTGTCTACCCCGAACTGCTTGTTTCAACAAAAACCCGCCAAACGACATGTCCATTCTAAACAGGAGATCTGCACCAGCATCTTCGAATGAAGTCAGGTTGAATCACAGGCCTCTTCAAGACTAAGACCAATGGCTGCGCACCCCGCACCCTCCATGCAACACCCCCCGAAGCTACTGGCCTCTCTGAGCGGGAGGGGCATGGCGGGCCCGGCAATGGGCCAAAGCCAAAGCGGATGGTCCTCATTGTCAATTCGCGTGGCTTCATACGTGTGTGATGCTATTCATAAGTGCGCGGAAGCTCTCATTAAACCAGCGTTGAACATATATAAGAATAGCATGCATCTGTCAATGCAAATGAATGTACACATTGCGCCATGAAAAGGACGCTCACCGTAACTTGGCTTCAAGCCACCCTTTGAAGAGAAATACAAAACTTACAAAACCGCCCCCCTCTCCCGTCCTCCCGCAGCACTCCCTTCCCGGAGAAGGTGCTCGAAACCGGCGCCTCCAGCAGCTCTGCCAACTGCTGCACCAGGCCCCGGTCACCCCCGGCCTGACGTGTTCGACATGGGGCTGGCTCGTTCGTTGGCGCCCACTTCTGTGATACCAAGGAACGCTCTTCAAACGGAGAATTTGGACCGTACGTTGGTATTTGGAAGTGCGGCACTCCTACAACCCTGGGCTGGTTTGTTGAAGGGCCATTCACTTGCGAAGTGTTCGTTGAAAGAAGCATTGGCTCCATGTTAGCACGTACCATCAGACCAAACATGGGAGGCCAAATGGAGTGGAGATGTGGGCCAATTTGATGAGCGAGAACTCCCGTCTCAGACCAAGCCGTCTGCCGGTGGGCAACCAGTCTGAAGCTTAGAAACGCACACCTCTTTGCCCCTCAATGACTCAAGGGACAGGAACCGCCATGACCAGCCATGCCTCCTCTGTGGCGCAGCCCATTCCCACGTGGATCCAGGGCCGCTTGGCCGCCAGCAGAAGTCGCAGCGCCTGCTCCGCCCCACTGGCGGGGGACCAAGGCGACTCCATGGGCACCGGGGCTGCCTGGAGCGCATGCCGAGACCGGCTGCCGAAAGAAACCGCTTGGGCATGTCTTCTGTTTGGAGGGGAAAGCCCCTTCTTTGGATTGGTTTGCTAGAATCTGACGGGGTTTGAGCCATTCATTGAAGCACGCATCTGACCACATTGGGCTGGGTTGAGCCATTTGATTTCATACTCCGTTTTCGCAACATGGCAAAAGACTAGCAATTGGCGAATGCGAAGTGCTGCTCAGGACAGAAATGATGGTCAGGCCAAACGGAGCTTCATTACTTGACTGCTTCCGCCTCCTTGTCCAAGTTGAACTGGTTGAAACTCCCCTGTGTTTCATCGAGCCTATTCTCTCCCAAACATTCCATCCCTTTCACAACATCCTCCACCGGCACTTTTAAGGGAGGGTCAGCAAGGCGACTTTGCATATGATCGTTTGCGGGATGTCGCTACAATTCCAAAGTTCAGGGCCTCTGTCATGCGACTATTTCACAAAAGAGAAGAGGATTCCTACCGTTTTTGAGCAAGTCACTGGCCCTGGCCATTTTTCTGGGACATCCGCCAGATTTTTGTCTCTCTCTCTCTCTCTAAGTTGTGGCCTGATTGGAAACCACGCGCCTTGAGCACCCGGGGCACCTCCGGCTGGAAGGGCGTGGCCACCAGCGAGGGCCCCCGAGGCCCGTCCTGGCGCGCCTGGCGCAGCGCTCCGAGGAAGCGCTGGCGCGGCAGCAGCAGCACCACCGGGCCGCTGGGCGCCGCGGCGGCCAGCGAGGCAGCGGCGTGCGCCTCTCGAGACGTGCGGCCTGGGTTGGGCCTTGTATCTCTTGTATGCCTTACATGATCCTTACATGATCCTTACATGCCTTGTGCTGGTTGCCCCCTTCACTCAGGTCACCCCAACAGTGCATGAACCCAAGGCTTCTGCGGCCCGCGCCTGCTCCTCCCAAGAGCTCTCCTCCATCGACGACAACAAGATGCTTCACTCATCCGTAGCGTAATGCATGGTCTCTACATGGCTGTCTGCAAAAGGGGGGGGCACCACCAAAAGGGGTGGTTTCCCCTGTTGGTTCTCTTTTCAAACAACTCGAAGAGGGATACTCCCCGCATCCCATTTTGCAAACGCTCTCCTCGCCGGCCACCAGCAGCTTCTTGGAGAACTCCGTCAGCGGCCCCAGCCCGCCCTCGTTCTCTGGCTGCGTGCTAAGCACAATCAGCAGCAGCGGCACCCCATCTTGCCAGGCCTCCCCCACGCCTGACATGTGCGCAGGTGGAGAAACCTCATGGACATCTTCACTTTCACAAGGCCCCAGCGAACTAACAAACAAAGAACAAAAGAACAGATGAGCGTTCGGACGTGCGCCAAATCTGATGAAATTACGGAGCTTGTTCATGGTGAAACAAAAGAAATCCTTGACACCCGCGCCTGACAGCGTCGGTAGCGAAAATGCATCCAAAGAATCCAAAAGGCAGGCTCCCACGGCAGTGTTTTTGCTGATGAAGCACCGCCCCGCGCCATCAGCAATAAAGCCCACACTCTGTGCATCAGTGCAACTCACTACAGTCACGTCTCTCCCTTGCGCAGCGTCTTGCAGCCTCAGAACGCATGACAGGAAGTCGAACCAAGAAAATTGGAGGCGCCCCCCCCACCCACACACACACACACACACACACGAGCGCGCACATACAAGTGGCGCCGTCTAAGCCAGAGAAAAAGGAAAAACAACGATTGTGATGTCATGCCCTTCGCAGCCAAGATGCGCTTGGAGCATTCTCTTGTGGGCAGGGTTGGCGGCAGCTGAGCACAACAGCTGCACCCCAGAGCCAGCAAGCGCACTCACCAGCGAGTTGCAGGCAGCAGGCAATGTCGCCGGCATCTGAACATCGAAGAGGCACTTGCTGGCATCAGCACCTGAAATGGCAAGCGCTCCTCCAGGTGTGAGGCCACTGCCCAACATGGCTTGTCAGTCATGCTTGTTTCAACGTGAAATTTCAGTTTACGTGTGTCAGACTGGGACAAGTGTCCACACGACACATGATTGAAGAAGGCTGCTTCTCCAGCCAGGTCGCCTGCAGCCTGCACAGTCAGCAAAGAGGTCTGACAAGAGGCTGCCCCTTGAAGCGCTAGTATCGCATTGGTGTGGTTCTGGGAGTGCGTGGGGGTTGCCATCTCCTTAGGCTCGAAGCAAGTCCCTCGTGCATCTGTCGTGTGCTATCTGTGCGTTTAGTAGTCGCGCCAATACGCCTAGCCCACCTGAAACGTCCAGGATGTCTCTTTAATCTTTGGCAAGCTGCGTAGGCTGCAATGCCCATACTCCGCGCCATCCCTTGGCCATCCACCCCGGAACTGGACAGAGTTACCAGCAGCAGTGGAAGGCCATGTGCATGGGAGAGCCTTGGCAACAAAAGCAAAATGGCAGGGCACGAGCATGATGCATTCCCTTCCCAACTTCAATCATTTGCAAGGTAGTCATGTTGGCAAAGAATTGTCGGCAGACTGCGCCACCTGCATCACCATGATGGGAAAGCCTGACTCTGTTTGACACATGATATGAAGGATTGAGGCCCTGCACGGTATCATTGGCTGAAGCTCCATCTCAACAAAAGCTAAGCTCACCAAGTCCCTCGTATCTAAAAGCTGGACAGAATTAAAGGCGTCCGAGCGTTGTCAGTACAACTGATTCGTCGAGCCCGCAACAAAGGAAATGCTGCAACCACTGCCTTGAAATGAGTGTCAACTTGTGCCTTCCTGTCGTGATGCAGCCCCGTGGGTGCCTGAACATATGTGAATGCACACATACATTTACATTCTCTCTAATAAGCTTATTCACAGACAGGCCTGGGTACGCGCATGTGTGCACAACATGCACGTGCATGTGCCTGATTTCATGCTGAATTTATGAAGGTTAAACATGTACAGCACAAGGGTTCAATCATATACATACATATGTGTGTACTGTGTATATATATATATATACACATATAGTATACATCACATGGCATCTGCCCATGCACTTACACAACATCAATATGTGTATATATGAATACATAGATAGATAGATAGATAGATAGATAGATTAGATTAGATTAGATTAGATTAGATTAGAATAGATTAGATTAGATTAGATTAGATTAGATTAGATTAGATTAGATAGATAGATAGATAGATAGATTAGATAGATAGATTAGATAGATTAGATAGATAGATAGATAGATAGATAGATAGATAGATAGATAGGATAAGATAAGATAAGATAAGATAAGATAAGATAAGATAAGATAAGATAAGATAAGATAAGATAAGATAAGATAAGATAAGATAAGATAAGATAGATAGATAGATAGATTAGATAGATTAGATAGATAGATAGATAGATAGATAAGATAGATAAGATAGATCAGATAGATAAGATAGATAAGATAGATAAGATAGATAAGATAGATAAGATAGATAAGATAGATAAGATAAGATAGATAAGATAGATAAGATAGATAAGATAGATAAGATAGATAAGATAGATAAGATAGATAAGATAGATAAGATAGATAGGATAGATAGGATAGATAGGATAGATAGGATAGATAAGATAGATAGATACATAGATAGATAGATAGATTAGATAGATAGATAGATAGATAGATAGATAGATAGATAGATAGATAGATAGATAGATAGATAGATAGATAGATAGATAGATAGATAGATAGATAGATAGATAGATAGATAGATAGATAGATAGATAGATAGATAGATAGATAGATAGATAGATAGATAGATAGATAGATAGATAGATAGATAGATAGACTAGATAGATAGATAGATAGATAGATAGATAGATAGATAGATAGATAGATAGACAGATAAATAGATAGATAGATAGAATAGATAGATAGATAGATAGATAGATAGATAGATAGATAGATAGATAGATAGATAAGATAGATAGATAGATAGATAGATAGATAGATAGATAGATAGATAGATAGATAGATAGATAGATAGATAGATAGATAGATAGATAGATAGATAGATAGATAGATAGATAGATAGATAGATAGATAGATAGATAGATAGATAGATAGATAGATAGATAGATTAGATAATTAGATAGATTTAGATAATTAGATAGATTAGATAGATTAGATAGATTAGATAGATTAGATAGATTAGATAGATTAGATAGATAGATAGATAGATAGATAGATAGATAGATAGATAGATAGATAGATAGATAGATAGATAGACAGACAGACAGATAGATAGATAGATAGATAGATTAGATAGATAGATAGATAGATAGATAGATGGATGGATGGATAGACAGACAGACAGACAGACAAACAGACAAACAGATAGATAGATAGAGAGATATGTGTGTGTGTACGTGCGCAACACACCGTCTGAATAAGCCAGGAAAATATGAAAACACCTGTATGTATACCTATGCGTGCGAATCGATCAACGCCCAGATTCAAGGCGCTCCAGGCCCTGCGGCACCAGCGCCATGTCCTCCATCAGCGCGATGACGAGGCCACGTCTGTCGACGTTGCCGCGGCGAGGGTCCTCGCTCAAACTTTCGCAACCCGAATGGGTTGAGGATGTCCTCACCGAGTGGAAATCAGGAGGACCCCTGCTTGCACAATTTCCCAATCTGGCCCTCACTCTGATGGATATGCGGACCTATGCGCTCCCTCTGGCCCTGCGGCACCATATCAGCGCGATGACGAGGCCACGTCTGTCGACGTTGCCGCGGCGAGGGTCCTCGCTCAAACTTTCGCAACCCGAATGGGTTGAGGATGTCCTCACCGAGTGGAAATCAGGAGGACCCCTGCTTGCACAATTTCCCAATCTGGCCCTCACTTGATGGATGCGGACCCGCTCCCTCTGTGAATACACTTGCGGGTGGGGATTCTGAGATGCTACACGCATGATTGTCCTTCGGTGAAGCTTGTACCTGTCTGTTTGACCAAAAAAAAAAGTGCTGAGTTCCAACTGGTCCCTGATCAAGCGACACATTGGGGACCATCAAGCACCGTCGGTTCACCACACTAGCCAACAATCAGCAAACATCAATCAACATTCAACATTGCCGGCCGTCGCAACACAGAAGTTACCTCTGTCTGGCCAACCTTTCCTCTGACCCGCTAATTACCGTCCAATTACCGTCCCACCCCAAGCCTCCCAGTCGCCCCGCCTGGCGGTCCGCCTGGCCCCTGGCCATGGCCACCGCCGCCGGCAGCGCCGCCCCGGGGCTCTCCGCCGCGTAGGCGGAGGGCCGCGCCCCGCAGCCCGGCGCCACGGAGGCGCAGCCCACGGCGGCGGCCAGGCGCGCGCAGCGGCCAGGCTCTGCCACCACGCAGCACTCCAGGCCCTGACCGGAAACGCAAGAGCTATCTTGTTCAGTAAGTTTCAGGAGTAGGTTCGTTGGCAATGTGCCATGTGGCAATCGCGTTAAACCTACACACAGCCTTCCAGTTGGATACCCCTGCCGGTGCCCGAATGGAAGAGCCTGCTTGGCAGCTTCGGACGTCAGGAATCTGATGAAGACCACGATGGGGTCGTCAACCATCTCATCCTGGATGGCAGGCACCAGTCTAGTAGGCGCGGGCAACTCCGGAGTTGGCATAGTCACATCCTCCCACACGAAGTTGCCCATTTTGTTGTAGAGGTCGCAAGCAATTTCCACTCCCACAGGCCCTGGTCGGCCCTCCAGCGCTGCCACGCAAGCCTCCCTAATGGCCTTGCCAATGTCTTCCACGCTGGAGGGGCGAAACAAGGCCTTGCACACCGGCCGCAACACAGCCAGGTTGTCAACGTCATGGAGCTGGAAGCGCTCGGCGCCGGCGCGCACGCCAGCGGTGAGCACCAGCATTGGGGTGCGGTCTCGGAAGGCGCAGGCAATCCCGGCCAGCGCGTGGGTCACCCCAGGCCCCCCGATCACGCATGCACAGCCCAGGCGCCTTTCCTGGTGCCACACGCCCCAGGCCATGTACCCTGCAGCCTCCTCGACAGGGTTTGTGTGCGCATCCTACATCAGCACTCGGCCACAACACAACACATGCCTTTACCATGTGCTTCCGCAAAACGCATCACGTGCCCAAGCCATCCCTCCTCGTTGCCGATCAGGTGCATGGCAACTTGCTCCGTCCCATCCAGGCCCTCAAGGCACTCGGGGGGGCTGCAGATGGCGTTGTAGAGCGCCAAGTTCTGCACCCCAGGGATGCCGAAGAGACGTCGCACCCCGGCCAGGCGCAAAGCCTCCACCACGATTTCCCCACCTTGCAAGACAGAAGGAAGACAAGCAATGAGCATAAGCAGGCTGCAACTCAAAAGGGCGGGAAGCTGACCAATAACCATTCTTCCAACAGAACATGCTAAGCGCACTTGATTGTGGCCAACACCCCCTCCTGTGTGCTCGATGTCATGTCGCAGCAATCTTACAGGCGTTGCTACGTTCTGGACAGGCTCGGAGTCATACAGCTCCGAGGTCTCCTTGATCTCCTCCACCTCTTTCACTTGTTTGGTGTCTTGTGGCTTGGGCTTCTGCCCGATCAAGCTCGAAGCAGTCAGAAAGCTCTTCACAGGGCCGAGGCCCCCGAGGGGTGCTTGACGAGGCCTTGCAGGCAGGAGGTTCTCCTTGGCGAGCCAAAGGTAGGACAGGAGCATCACAAACGCAGCGAGGCACAGCGGGGTCGCCAGTATGGCAACAGCCTTGACTTGTGCGCCGTACGTGATCTGGAACTCATCTGGCTGAACTGCCTGCACGGCACGTAGTTCAGGACTGCGAGGGGAATGGGATTGCTGGCCTCAAAAGCAAGAGAAACTCACAACCAGCACCCCATGCCCCCTTCCAGTTTTAGCAGCCTGGTCACACCTCCCCCGAAGTTGAGCCACTCTTTTCAGGCAGGCTCACTGGGCCTGGCGGCTCCTCGCCCCAGTTCTGCCCCTGCCTGCTGCCAGGGCGCTCTGGGATGCCGGCGCAGGCACTGAGGCTCGTTGTGCTGGAAAATGCGCCTCTGTCTCATTGCCCTCCTGCGGGACGGGCTAAACTTGGGGCCGATTCTGTTTGGCGGAACACAGGGAGCCTCTCATGCCTCTTTCACACGAGGTGATTCAATCTCTTTCATGGCTCTAGAGTAGGAGCATCCAGCCTCCAGAGCTGCAACTATGCCAACACTGCGCATTTGAGTCTGCAGCAGCAATTGGCCTGTGGAGTGCTCCTGTGCAGTTGGGCCATGGCTTTCTGTTTCATGTTGTTTCCACTTGTTGCTGGGGGACGTCATCGAAACGATTTCACCACGTCCCAATCCAGCAGCATGAAGCGCGAAAACTGCCGTAAGCGCCAGACGTTTGAGCACTCATGCCCAGCATCTGCTCGAACAGTAGCAACCGAAGCAAGAATGCCTGCTGGTGGGAAGCTTGCTGTGGCGTCATGCATGATCAACTGACACCACAGCTGGAAAATGAAGCCTTTATCTAAGCAGAGCTGCCAATCAAGGTCACGCTGACCATTTGCATGACGAGGCAAGTAATGAAGGCCTTTGCTGCACAAGCAGTCACAAGCCTACTCCCTCCAAACTTCAGTCAACAACTGATGCGCTGAGGCTTGAACGTAAAACGTGGTGTAAGATGAAGTACGATAGAGGGTAAGGTAGGGATGAAGCCGATCAGCTTCGTAAGGTTTGAGCCTTGAAAGGCACGACTCCCAAAGCGGCCTGCAATAGGCACAACGCCAGGCACGCTTTGCTCTAGGGCCACCAAAGACCAGCAACACTTCGGAGCGTGTCTTTTCCTCTGCCGCAAGCCACTCGCATGTGAGACCAACCAAATACTCAGAGGCGCAAGCTCCGTCTCAGGCAGGGGCGGCAAATGGAGAAATGATGGCAGCCTTTTTCTGCCAGTTGAAGCAAACTTCCCGGGGAATACATCCGTTCGCTGGTGGGAGGGTTGGTGGGTTTGGTTTAGAACTTGTGCAGCTTCACATCCTTGCCGCTCTTTTTTGAGTTCAATGCATGAAACAAACACGGATCCAGGAGCTGAAGTAGGCAAGCATGAGTCGGGGGTGTAGGAGCCACTGCACAGATCTCTTTAAATTCTCTGCGAAAAGCGCCTAAAAACCAGCCCGCAAACAGGCTCACCGACCAAGCAATGACCAATCACCACATCCGCCTCAGCGCCTGCGCCGGCCCCGGCTCCGACTTCGGCTGTCCCGTCGCCGGCGGGAGCTGCGGCTCCTACTTGGGGGGGGACCAAAGGGGCTGACGCTGGCACCCAGGCAGGATAGACCCTGCATTCTCCAAGCCATTGATCCCCTTGTTGGTGATTTTGAACCTGGAAGCATCAGCTTTTGAGACAATTGTTCGCTGTCTCTCAGCGTCCGTTCCCTTTCGGGCTCACACAGGAGCCTCCCGAGCCACGATTCAAACATCAAATAAATACCAGGAGCCCAGCAGACAAGAACGCAAGCGCTTGCGCCACTTGAAGGAACCTTCTGAGGGGGTTTTCAAGGGTCACAATGGAGCCTTGCCCGCTCCTCCGACGCGAGGACCTGGACCTGGACGCCTTCCTGCTGCGCTCCTCACGCGACCCGCCGCGAGCGAAGCCTTTCTAAAGGCTGCATAGCCTTTGGCAAGGTTGTGGCACCCTTCCGCCAGCAGATTTGCGTCACAGGCGACTGCAAGACTGCTGTCCTTTAAGTTGGCCGTGCTTTGACAGAAATCTGTGTTACACATGTGGCAGGCTAGGCTCTGCAAGTCTCGATAGCACAAGTCTTGGCGCTTGGGGATCTGCCCCAACGCCTGGTGTCCGTAAGGAGTTAGCCTAAAACGCTGCCCGTACACAGGGTAGCAATGTGGCAGCGCCTGATGCACCGAAGTCTACTAAAAGATTTACTCGCGGAATTGTGTTGATCACGTGCCATCCCCAGCACGAATGTGTGGCGCACCATGTAGTAATGTTGGGCACTTAGGCCTCGAGCACTCTTGGCCAGCTTGATTTGGCTGCAAACAAGCAAACAGCCCCACAGCTTCCAGCACCCCGCACGTCGGAGCTGAGCATGGGCACTTTTTGAGTGCCCCAAGGCTGTCCAGCCTTGGGGGTGGTTCAGAGACCGCAAGTTTAAGGCTTAAGCCCATTGAGTTTGCCCCGAAAAATCGCCCCTTGATCTGCGGACGAGGCGCCGGCCGCCTTTGTGCTGGAGGCTCGCTGCCCTCGGCAGCCGGACTTGGTGTGCTGCTAAAGCCGCCGAATCCTCGTTCGAAGCGAAGGCCGACGTGAGACACTTTGACATCGGGGCCGGTCCTATCCTTCTGCTCGAAAGCAAAGGAAAAAAAAGTAAAATTTACTGGTCACTCGCCTCGCCGATCCAACTCCACTTCTTGCCTCCAGGTTGCCACCAGTACCGGAATTCTTCTGGGCCTCTGCTATGAGGTTCGCCTTGGCTCAGGGTCTCCAAATGGCCATGCCTCATGAGAGCAAGGGGGATGCGCGGGCTGTGGTTGAATACACTTGTATCCTCTTCATCTGTGGCTCAGTGCTCGGCCACGCTCGCTTTGGTGATCCCCGTTGGTACATCATGGGAATACTTACAGGCATCACCACCTGCGAGCTGGCAGCAAGCCAGGCATCGGGAAGCAGAATGTACGTTCTCTACGGCCCCGGCGGGTGCAAGAGCCTCGCCGATAGTTGGCGCAAAGCTCCCGCGGTCCGCCAATGTTGCCTTGCTGTGGGCTGGGGGGCCAGCCCATGCAAGTTCCACCATGTATCGCATGATGTCAGCTTTCCAATGCTGGGTGGGGGAATGTTGAGACTCGACTCCACATTTCACGTTCTCTCTCACGAAAAGGAGTCGAAACAAGTGTTAATTAAGATTAACACCTGATTGAATTCTTTGGATTTGGGTACCATTTGACAGCTCCTGCAGGGTATTAACATGATTTTTAATACCTCTCCGTGGTAGTAGGTCTTGAAGCATTAACATCAGGTTTAATTATTTTCCCATGTGGACTCATTTCGGGGAATTAAAACACATTTTGGGCTTTATTTGCCAGCTTTTGAAAAAGAATTAAACTTGATGTTAATTCCTGGCAGCTTCTGAAAAAGAATTAAACCTGGTGCTAATTCCTGGCAGCTTCTGAAAAAGAATTAAACCTGGTGTGAATTCCTGGCAGCTTCTGAAAAAGAATCAAGCCTGGTGTTAATTCCTGGCAGCTTCTGAAAAAAGAATCCTCCATCATCATCATCATCATCATCATCATCATCATCATCATGATCATCATCATCATCATCATCATCATCATCATCATCATCATCATCATCATCATCATCATCATCATCATCATCATCATCATCATCATCATCATCATCATCATCATCATCTTCCATGACGCTGGCCATGACGCTGCATAAAAAATGGATTAAGACATGTGTTAATTCTTTTTTACAAGCCTAGAAGTGACCCTGGGCAGCTAAAGGCTTGTCTGAGCTCAATGTGCAGGCTTTGTTCTCTACAGCCTCGGGAAGTCATTGCTAGACATGATGCTGCATAAAAGAATTAAACCTGGTTGTAATTCTTTTTCGCAAGCCTAGAACTGACCCTTGGCAGCTAAAGAATTAAAATGGGCTCCAGCCCTAAAATTCACGGGCCATCGCCAAACCAGTTTTAATAACAATAAACACTTGTTTCCAGTCTCTACCTTCTCTCTCACACACACACCCATGCACACACACACACACACACCTCATGCCGCTGCTGACCCTCCACACGCCACCCCAGGTCAGGCCTCTTTCGGCGTTGATCGCCTTTGTCCAGCTGGCACAATGCGCGAAGCTAGCCAGGGTACCCTCAAATCAAAGCAGCCCATGCTAAACTGCAGTGATAGATATTCAGCCGTGCCTTCTCCATGTCGCTGAGCTTCACGATCAGAAAGCCAGCCGGGTTTCGAGCTCTTGCCAGGCAGGACTTAAAGTCCTGCAAGTCCTTGGCAGTGCTCAAAACAAAACTTTGGACCTGGGGCATCTTTCAAAAGAAGCATGGGATGAAGTGACGTCTGAAACAGCTTTGCACTCCAATTGCAAAACCGATGCACTTGTCAACTGAAAAGATTAAGCGTCAAGCATTGCCTACCTGCCCATAGAGCCTGGAATCTGAATCATGGTTTGTTCAAAAAATGTCGACACACATATATATATATATATATGTATATATATATATATATATATATTTTGCCTGTCTGTCTGTCTGTCTGTCTGTCTGTCTGTCTGTCTGTCTGAATGAATGAATGAATGAATGAATGAATGAATGAATGAATGAATGAATGAATGAATGAATGAATGAATGAATGAATGAATGAATGAATGAATGAATCAATGAATCAATGAATGAATCAATGAATCAATGAATCATGAATGAATCAATGAATCAATGAATCAGTGAATGAATGAATGAATTAATGAATGAATGAATGAATGAATGAATGAATGAATGAATGAATGAATGAATGAATGAATGAATGAATGAATGAATGAATGAATGAATGAATGAATGAATGAATGAATGAATGAATGAATGAATGAATGAATGAATGAATGAATGAATGAATGAATGAATGAATGAATGAATGAATGAATGAATGAATGAATGAATGAATGAATGAATGAATGAATGAATGAATGAATGAATGAATGAATGAATGAATGAATGAATGAATGAATGAATGAATGAATGAATGAATGAATGAATGAAGGAATGAATGAATGAATGAATGAATGAATGAATGAATGAATGAATGAATGAATGAATGAATGAATGAATGAATGAATGAATGAATGAATGTATGTGTATATAGACACACATAAATTCTTATATTTATATATCTATAAATCACGGTTGTTTATGCGATTAGGCAGGGACGCCATGGGTTGGAAGCGACCACTTGCTGCCCAAGGCTCTACTTGCCATCTGTCCCCTCGCGTTTTCAGCGCCTTCGGTCGGTGCGTTCCATGAGTCAGTCACGAAGCGAGCGGATGACCGGGTGAAACCGCTCGATCCAGGATCCGGGGCTCCCATTCAGCTTCCCGGCCTCTATGAGCCTCACCTTGATCTTCTCTTCAACCGCAGGGAAGGGGGCAGTCATCGCCATCACCTTAAGCAACGCGTACAAACTCCAAACCTCACCCTGGCGCCAACGGCTCACCTTGCCTCCTGCGGGATATCGCCCATTGGCAGGGAGGCTCCTGCGTTTTTTTACAACCAACTTTACATACCGAGCCAAACTCCGCCCAAGAATGTTTTGCGTCCTCCGAAAGGGCCTCCGTCTGGCTCGTCCCCGTAGGCCTGCTGCTGCATCTCCCTTGGCATGGAAATCCAATGAAGCAGCATTATGCAGCATGCACGCAAAAAACGTAAGCAGGTGTTGCCACTTGAACAATTTTGCTGGCTTTCACAACCCCACAAAATGCAGCTGCGCCACTGATACGCCATCAGTGCTGCTGAGTTCAAGTCTCCTGGCTGGATGGTTCATAACAAATCAGGTGCCGCCGCTTGGCCAGGAAAAAAAAGTCTGCGTCTTGCAGGCGAGGGATCCAAAAACCTTTTTAGGCATCAAAAAAACTTTTGCTGAAGATCAAATAAAAATTCCTACTAAAATGAAAACTCAGAGGGTCAAAAGAACACGTCAGGAATCGCAGCACGTTCGCAAGGTCAGGTACAGGCTTTGTGGCAGGCGCAACACTTTCGCAAGGTCAGGTACAGATTTCGCGACAGGCGCAGCACTTTCGCAAGGTCAGATTTCGCGGCAGGTGCAAGCACTTTCGCAAGGTAAGGTACAGATTTTGCAAGTTACGGTCCAGATTTCGCGGCAGGCGCAGCACCTTCGCAAGGTCAGGTACAGATTTCGCGTCAGGCGCAGCACGTTCGCAAGGTACGGTGCAGGGAGTTTGTGGCAGGCGCACCACTTTCGCAAGCGATGAAGAGAAAGACACAGAGAAAGAAACATGCATAAAAAGGGGAAAAGAGAGAGAGAGAGAGAGAGAGAGAGAGAGAGAGAGAAAGAAAGAAAGAAAGAAAGAAAGAAAGAAAGAAAGAAAGAAAGAGAAAGGAAGACGTTAAAATCGGTTGCTACTTTTACTTACAAGTGCAAGTGCTGTAGTGTTCAAAGAAACGGTCAACCAATGTAGTCTGCAGCTGCCAACCTTTTGACTCATGCGATGTAGTGAGCTCAAGGCCTGCAGTAGTGAACATACATGCAACACAAATACAGGAAGTGAAGCATGTAGTTTGACACGGTCCCTCAGTTAAAAGGTCTTTGTAGTACCTTTTCAACTGAAGTGCAAAACATGGATTGACAGTAGTGATGAAAACCATTGTTGTTCATCAATTCTACTGTACTGGCAAAAAGTAGTAACCTGCACTCAGTAGTTCGCGCTGTTCATGTTCCAGCTCGATGTACTGGTGCTGGATGGAATTCGTGAGGCAGTTACTCATTGTAGTAGAGCAGGAGCTCAAGCATGTAGTGCCCAGTTCTGGGCGCGGTAGGCTTGGACCATGTGTAGTCAACTGTCCAAGGTCGCGTAGTAGTGGGTGGTGAAAAAGGTTGTCATGTAGTTTGGAGCGCCTCGTAGTCTCTCATCGTCTATCTCAGGGCACGACATATGTTGGTCGTAATACCTAAGGAAACGATGTAGTGGTGCCTGTTGCAAAGGATGGTAGTAATTGCCTTGTGTTGAAAGTCGTGGAGTTGGTCGCGGTTGTAGAGGTAGTGGAGTAGCTCCGGTAGAAGTAGTGGCATGTGATAGTTCTAAATGTAGTTATTCCTCAGGCTGTAGTTGTCGGTGAAGGTAGTCATGTCGTAGTCCACCTTGTAGATGGTCTGTGGATGTCGTGTAGTTGGGAGGTAGTAGTTCTGTTGTACTGACATCATGTAGGAAATGTAGTCTCTGGTGAAGTGGAGAAATTGTCCTGAAGTGAGGTACCTCAGGAGTAGTTGTTGTCCAATCTGTAGTTGGATGATGACGTAGTTGGTGTTGTTGCCAGCCGTAGTGTGGAGTGAAGTTGTGTGGTAGTAGTGGACGTTGGCTGCTTCAGGTAGTGAAACGCTGAGCAGTGTGGAATTGTAGTGGGGCATCCGGAGGTCTCCAGGGATGCAGTGAATGGGCCGTGTGTAGTCCAGTTGTGAAACTGGAGTTGCTTCTTGTTGTGAGAGTGGTTCATACTCTTCCAGTGTAAGTGCAGTGAAAAACTGCGTGTAGGGTGTGTTGTCAGGCAGTGATGGAGTAGTGGTTGTCTGGTACTCCGTGATGTGTAGTTGATCCATGACAGTTGCCGGGTTGTAGTAAGCCGCGTTGCCAGGCGTGGAGTGATTGAAGCGGTAGTTGGACTCGTTGTAGGTCTGAGGGGGTTCCTTGGTCACTGGAGTCTGTAGTGACCGCCACCTCACGTGTAGTCGCCCTGTCAGGCGTAGTCGCATCTCCCATCGTAGCATCTGCAGTAGATGGAGCGACCATGGCTGCAGTGGAATGCAAAATGTAGTGAAAGGGGGCAAAACAAAATGAGCCTGCGTAGTAGCTATCAGGCAGGGGGCGCATGCAGACATGTAAAACAAACAACTGTAGTGTTGACTCAGCCGCTGAACACCAGCTACAATAGCACTCAGCTCAGCAGAGTCTGAACTCTACGCCATTTGCACAGGAGTTAATGAGGGACTACACCTTAGAAACTTCCTACTTGAAACCAACATTTGCAGCAAGCTAAACCTACGCATCGACACAGACTCCACAGCAGGCAAGAGCATTGCTACACGACAAGGCACTAGCAAACGAGCAAAGCACATCGACCTCAATTTACCAAATACATCAGCAAAGAAACACTACACAGGCTCATCCAGAGCATTGGGATACGCATTTAGCACTACGAACAACCAGCACAACAACAACAACAACAACAACAACAACAACAACAACAACAACAACAACAACAACAACAACAACAACGACGTTGGACATTTCTTGTATGTACGTAGCTACATGTGACACGACACCTTTGGTATGTAAGCAACAGTAACTACATGCAACTGTTGTTCCTAAAAAGATGATGTTGAAACCTGAAGTTGATTTCCTGGTAGTAGGGCATCCTGCCCAGTCGGCATCGACATGAACGTCGAGATCCAGGATGTTGTTGGTGTTTGCTCTGAGTGTTGTTGTTGGTTCTATGGTGAATTTGTAGTGCTTGGCGCCGTGCAAGTAGCGTAGTTTATTGTTTGACTCTCTTTTGTGAAAGTTCTGTAGGTGCTGTGAGGTCTCGCGCCAGTTCTTTTGTAGAGTATGCGATGTCTGGTCGTGTGTATGCTAACCATTGTAGTTTGCCAACAATCCTTCTGTACCTTTTGTGTTGTTCGTGGTCAAGAAGCGCTTCATCCTCTATTGTTGGTTTGTAGTGGGCAATTCCTGGAGCGGTCACTGTGTTGCAGTTGGTCATTCCAGACTCCTCGATCATGTTGTCGATGTAGGAGTCCTTTAGTCCAAGGTTGCAGTAGTTGCCGAAGTGGTCGATGTTTCTTCCAAGAAATTGTTGTGGTTTGCCAGGTTCGAGGTAGCCGATGTGCTTGAGTAGGACCTGCTTCTGGATGGCCTCGAAAGTACCAGTAGATCGTCCACGTAGACAATGATGTAGCAGTCGCAACACTTCAGCCAGGTAGTCCTGCCATGCTTTTGGTGAACTGCGTAGTCCATACATGGCTTTCTTTAGTCGCCAGATTTTGTCCTGTTGTGGACAAAGTTCTTTAGGTGGCCAAAGGAGACGTCACGTTGTTTACCGTCGTGGTCTTTTGCGATGGGTGCGTGTAGAAATGCTGTAGAGACGTCACCCAGTCGCGCGATCCAGTTTGGTCGTGACATTTGTAGTGCGAGAAGTGTCCGGAGTGTCGTGAACATTGGTGTAGAGGCGTAGACGGAGTCTTCGTCCTCGATCTTCTCCGTGTAGCCTTTTGCGACGATCCGGAATCGTACTCCTGGTCCTTTCTTTCTGTGTACCCATCTTGTAGGTATCGCTTCTTTTAGAATGTTGTCATCGACGGTAGACGCATCTACTTCGTCGTAAACGTCGTGTAGTTTCATTTGGTTTGACTCGTGTTTCATTCCTTCCAGTAGTTGTGTTTCGTCATAGCCTTCGTTGTCGAAGATTATGGGTTGGTCTTCTGAGGTGTCATGGATGTTCCGTTGGGTTGCTTGCTCCGTTGATCTGACTGTAGTGTCCTTTGAGGTCTTCTGCGCTTTGGTTGGTTGCATTACTTCTTCCGGAGTTAAACGTCTTAGTGTTTGTCGAGGTGGTGCTGGTAGTGGTGGATGTTGTCGTCCGGCTGGTGAAGTAGCCATAGGACTATCCGGTAGTGGTCGTGAACTTGACGTCGATGTAGACGGAAGTGGTGTAGTGCGTTGTTGTTTTGTTGCGGGTTCCGCAACGATGTCGTCCGTCGCGTTCGTCTGTTGTCCGAAATCTTGCGTGGACCTTCTTTTCTCTGACGGTTGTAGTTGCGTATCCAACAGTGTTGCGAACGATGGGTTGTAGGTGTTCCGTCTTGGTGCCCACGGTGCCGGAAACTTTGTTCAACAGTGCGAGGTCGTATTTGAAGTCCGGTTGTAGTCTCCGTACTCTCGTACCTTTTGTACGCCTGATTCCGTTGCGACGTAGTTTTCTCCGGTTTCGGAAACTTTTCCGAGCCAGATGCATTTCTGCATCCGTAGGTCTGCCTTTGGAAGTTTCTTGTGTTGTGGTGGAAGGTAAAGTAGTGTCTCGCCCAATTCGCAGATTGCTCGCTCGTAGTTTCTTCCCCAGCGGGGTTCCAAGCTTGTGTAGCCGTCTGAGTGGATGACGTAGCGATTTACCGTCCATGCTGCATGTCGTACTATCCAAGGTAGTAGACAGTGCTTTGTGGACATCGTCATGCTGTAGTTGCTTTCAACCTGCGCTTTGACGACACTGTCCGAGGAGTGTTCGGTGTAGTCGCTCAACGCTTCCTTGACTGTTACTGCTGTAGGGGGGGTGCATGCCTAACAGTCATTGAGCCGACTTTTGCTGCTGTAGCTTTTAGAAGTGCGTTGAGTGTGTCTTTGTTGTCGCTTTGTAGTATGCCTTGTGTTCTTCCGCACTCAAAGATGAATGCTTGTAGGTTGTTGACCATGTAGTCCATCATTGATGGTTTGTCCGGGACCATTACTGCCATACACCGTTTTGTATTAACATCAACTGCTGTCAGTACTGGTATGGTCTTTGGGTCTTGTTGTGATTTGATGTGGGCGAAGTCTACTTGAATGACGGGTTGTCGTGATTGGTGTTTCTTGTAGTTGTCTTGGCGTCCTTGGCTTTGAACGCAAATTGGACACCAGTTTCTGTATGGTAGATGTGTAAGATTGTGTTCTGCTATTTGTTGCGGAGTGGGCTGCTGTGGTTGTCGTAGTCCTCTTGCTCTGTGCGCTTCATGATGCTCGTGTTGTTGTTCCTCATCGTGGTTCTCCTGGAGGTACGCGTAGTCTTTCTTCACGGTGAACCTTGTTGTTCCTTTCCATTGACATGGCAGTGCTGCGTTGCCCATGACTGTCCAGTCAGCTTTGCGTTGCGAAACTTCTCCAAAGTTGTTGTGAGTGATTGTAGTTCTGTGAGGCTCAAGTGTGCTGATTGGTGGATGTCCTGGTCCATCTGTTGGAATGAAGAGAGTTGTTCTAAGTGTTGCGCGGTGTCTTATCCAGTGTTCACCTTGTCTTTCCCAGTAGTCTTGGTTGTCCTCCTGTGAGTGGTCTGGTTGTCTCCTTTGGTTGTGTGGTGTCAAGATTTGTAGAAGGTGCTGCTTCAGGTCTCCATATCTTTTGTGGTGCTCGTAGTTGGATCTTTGATCTGGTTGGTGGTGTGTCCATTAGCCGTTGTGGTTGTGAGCTCTGCCTTGTTGGTGTGGTCTTTGATGTTGCTCTGCATGTAGGTATTATCTTTCTTCTAAATCTGGTTTCTCCAGTCCAGTTGTCACCTTCTAGTCTTCGTTGTAGTTCTTGCTTGGAAAGTTGTGTTGGGTTCTCTTGTAGTTGTTCTTGCTCTTGCCCTTGTCTGTTGATGATGGTTAGTCGCCAATCATCTAGTTCTCCTTCTGGTGTTGGGCAACCACTGTTGTGTGGTGTGAACAATGCTTTGTGTGGTCGTTTCTGTACTCTGATGGCGTAGCCGCCATCAAGTTTCCAGTAGTCAGTGTTTCCACCAAGGATCTGTCGCAGTCCTTGGTCTGTGTGGGTGAGTGGTGCAATTTGTTCTTGTTGTTGTGTTGCTTTCTCTGTAGGTTGAATCACAGCAATGGATTTTCCATTGTCTGTGGTCATTGGGTAGATGTCGAATCCTGTAGGGATGTCGATCTTCTCTGCTCGTAGGTAGAAAAGTCCTGAGTGCCTTATGAGGTGTGCTTGTTGTGCATGTGTGATGGTGCAGTGTCGTGGGTTGAAGGCAAGTCCATATCCTCTATCAAGTAGTCTTGATGCACTGAGGATTGGATACTTCACATCACAAACGTAGTAGGGCATCATGATCCTGAAGTTGTCCTGCTTGTAGGGAACATACTTAATGCCGTAGACAGGAATCTTCTTGTTGGTAGCCGTGTAGAGTTGTGGAACTGATGTAGAGTTGTGGAACTGATTCTCCACAAGGTCGTAGCGGTAGATCTGGCGCGTAGTGCTTTGGACAAACATGTGTAGATGCTCCTGAGTCGATCAACAGGTGGTGGTATGACTTGAAGTTGGAGTACATGATGTAGTGTGTGATAGTGTCCTCAATCTTCTTGTTCCTTTGCTGTTGTCTTGCTGCTGCTGTGTCGAAGTGTAGCTGTGTGGTGTCTTCTTGTAGGAATTGTTGAAAGCTCTTGCTGTGGTCGTTCCATGATGTTGTGTGTGTTGTTGTTTTTTCCAAGTAGTGATTTGGATTTGTGCTTGTGTAGTCGTGACTTTGCTCGTCTGATGCGTCCAATGGTGAGGTGTGACTCGTTGATGCCTCCAATGTAGTTTGCTGTGTCCTCATAGCTGTTGTCATTCCAATCCCAGCTGTTGTCATAGTCGTAGTCGTTCCAGTTGCCCTCCATGTAGTTTACCTCGTGTTGTCCTTCTTCCCCTTCGTAGTACCAGTCCCAGGTGTCTTTCACATCCTGAGGTAGTTCTTCATTGTTGTCATGATCTGCTTGTTCTTGTTCTAGTGGATGTAGTTCTTCTCCTTCTCCTATGTGCCATACTGGCACTCTGCAGTCTTGTGCCCAGTGGCCAGGCTTGCCACATCGATGGCATGTTGTGTAGTTGTTGTTTCCTTTTCCTTTTGATTTGCTGTAGTTTCCTTGGCCTTTGTAGCCTTTGCTTGATCCATATCCTTTGGATCCTGAGTAGCCTTTTCCTTTGCTCTTGTTGTATCCTCCTTTGTTGTAGTTTCCTTTGTTGCCTTTGTCGAACCCTTTGTAGTGTCCTTTACTCCTGTACTTGCCTTTGCTTTTGCTTCCCTTGTAGTTGCCTTTGCCTTTTCCTTTGCCTTTGTAGTTTCTTCCTTTCCTCCATATGTTGTCAACATCCATTGGTGCAGCTCCTCCATTGTAGTTTGTTCCTACTGCTGAAGTCGATCTCGAGAAGGCTGAAATCGTCTTGTAGTAGTCCAAAATGACTGCTCTAATCTCGATGTAGTTCATGATCTGTCCAGCTCGCAGTTGGAGATGTTGCTGCAGTGCTCCTTTGGTTTTGTTGAGTAGCATTGCTATTTTGATTCCATCTGGTAGTGCTGTGCCGTTGTTTTTCTCGTAGCGGTTGATGTCGTATTCCCATTGTAGGAATTGTTCTTCAAACTGCGCTTCGTTGAATGTAGGTTCCAGTAGTTTGGTAAGGTAGCCAACGCTTCTTGTTCCTACTGGTAGGCTGAACCTGTTGTGTAGGAGTCGCAGTGTTTCACATCCGTTTGCGTTGTAGCGGTTTTGCCTTACTACTGTAGCTGCTGCTCCCTGACAGATGTTGATTAGATCTCTGGAGGTCTACTGCTTTGCTTGCTTGTGTAGGGTCGGGTATGTGTGTTCTGATGTCTGTGTCCTCAGTCTGTCGTGTAGCCACTTGTGCTAGCTGTAGCACCAGGTCGAAGTCTCGGTCTATGAGGCCGAGGTATGCTTGTAGTTTGAACAGCCATTCTTCATACTGGGAGTAGTGACCAGTGAAGAAGGGTGGTGGCAGTTTGTATCTATGTAGTCTCTGAACGTCGTTGTCTTGTTCTGTTCCTGCTCCCGTAGTCGTGGCTCCTACTGTGTCTGCTGTTGGCCCGTTCTCTGCCCCTGTAGTTTGTTGCGCTGAGGCTGATGCTGCTTCTCCTGACATGTCGTAGTAGTTTGGCATGTGACTGCCGTTGCTGTGGTTGTAGTACTTACTGCTTACTGGAGCTCCCCTATGTTTAGGATCTCAGCTCCGCTACCACGTTAAAATCGGTTGCTACCTTTACTTACAAGTGCAAGTGCTGTAGTGTTCAAACAAACAATCAACCAATGTAGTCTGCAGCTGCCAACCTTTTGACTCATGCAGTAGTGAACACACATGCAACACAAATACAGGAAGTGAAGCATGTAGTTTGACAGAAGAGAGAGAGAGAGAGAGAGAGAGAGAGAGAGAGAGAGAGAGAGAGAGAGAGAGAGAGAGAGAGAGAGAGAGAGAGAGAGAGAGAGAGAGAGAGAGAGAGAGATAATAGAGAGAGAGAGAGAGAGAGAGAGAGAGAGAGAGAGAGAGAGAGAGAGAGAGAGAGACAGAGAGAGAGAGAAAAAAAGAAAGAAACAAAGAAAGAAAGAAAGAAAACCAAACAAAAAAGACAAAGAAAGAAACAAGGAAGGAAGGAAGGAAGGAAGGAAGAAAGAAAGAAAGAAAGACAGGAAGAAACATCGAGGATGTGATGATTCAACAAAGAGCGCGTTAACCTCTTCAACTCTTCTAAAAACCAGCGTGGGGATTGGGGGGGAGGGGGCGGCAGCCGCCCATGATGAAGTGATGATTCAGCAAAGGGTGCGTTAATCTCTGTAAACATTCTAAAA